GCTTAAAGCTGCTGTGGGTTATTAGAACGTGATTAAAGAGCACTTAAACAAAGTTTGGCAGCTGGGAGTGGGATTCCTGGGTAAATGGGAGCTCTGAAGCTCCCAGTCACATGTGGTTATAATCCCCAAAGAGCTCCAAATGCAGCGGGGTGGGAGGAATCCGTGGAGTTTASAGGAATTCTGGCACTGCAGATCTGTGAGGTTTAAATCCTCACCTCAGTGCAGCCAGAGCTGACTCCTCTCATTCCCATTTTATCTGTCTGATTCCTTCTTCTGGAGGCTGGCAAGGGAAGATTTGTGCCTGCTGTGGTTTGATRCAGTTGGCATCAGCAAAGCAGAGGGATTTAATGCTTAAAAACGGAGCTAAAATATTTAAAATGTTCTGATGGCTCTGTGTCTGTTAGGCCAGAGCAGAATTTCAGAATTTGATGCCTTGTCACACATTWARYGTGTCTTTTCTGCTGCACTSCCCTCCTTCCTCCATCCCTTCCCTATGAAATGGGAACAATAAATTAAATACAGATTTTTARAATTTATATTAATCTGTCTAAAGTGAGATTTGACTGCATCTCCACTGCACCTCTTGAAAGCAAATAAAGCTCCCAAACTCAGCCCAGTAAACAGAGCTGGGTTTCCATGGAGAATGGGTGGCCAGAGCTGGTTATTATTATCATTATCATTATTATCATTATTATCATTATTATCATTATTATTGTTACTGTTATGGTTATTATTGCTATTATTGTTATCATTGGTATTGTTATTAATAATCGTAATCATAATCATATAATGGTAATAATAATGGACTCATAATAATAAATGAAAATTATTTATAATATGGATAGGAATGTTGTTAATAACAGTAATAATATATTAAAATGTTATATAATAATATAATACCATGATATTTGAATGTACTTTATTATATATATTATCATAATATTGTAATACTTTTAATAATATATAATATGTACTTATAATAATTAGTTATATTATCAATATTGTTATAAGTGTGTATTAATAATATTATTAATAGTTTAAATATTAATAGTGTTGCTATTTGTAATAATGTAATTTATTATAATAGGATATATTATTAGACATATATTATTAGACAATGATTGTATATTAATACACATAGTATGTATTATACATTATAAATATGCATGTATAATATATATTT